GGACAATATTTGGCTGAGATGCAACTATTTGAAAATCTGGAATCTGAGGGAGCTAAAAAATCTAAATATTGAGAAAATCATCTTTAAAGTTGTTCAAATGAAGTTCTTAGCAATGCATATTACTAGTCAAAAATTAAGTTTTGATATATTTATGGTAGGAAATTTACAAAATATCTTCATGGAACATGATCTTTACTTAATATCCTAATGATTTTTGGCATAAAAGAAAAATCGATCATCTTGACCCATACAATGTATTTTTGGCTATTGCTACAAATATACCCCAGCGACTTAAGACTGCTTTTGTGCTCCAGGGTCACAAATACTAATTTAATTTTATCTGAAGTAGTACTTGTGCACAATGCACATTTCTTAATATTAAGCCAAAAATGTGTTTTAATGTCACTATTGATGAGGATTGTATGATCTTTGAATAATATCGGTCTTTAAATGCAAGATATTTAGAGTGTATCTGAAGTATACTTGCAATCGTTCCACTTTAGCACAATCAAATATACTTCAGTATATCTTTATTTGGACTTCAGCACTACTTAAAGTGCATTAAGGACAAAAATTAGTTTACAATTTAGCAGATTGTAAGTATACCAGTTTAGTATACCAAAAGTACAATTACAGGGTATTTTTATTAAGTACACATGTGTAAATGTACTTGTAGTATACTTAGCATGAAATAAATGTATTTCATATATATTATATTTATTTTTCACTAGGGTATATCTGCCAATATTTGGGAATTTTGAGATTGTCAAAATTTGACAAAATGTTCAGACAGCCCTTTTTTATTTGATTTCAATTTTCAATTTCTCATTTTGTTTCATTCAATTGTATTATATCATATAGATCGGCATTCTCACAGTAGCCAAACTGCTTTAAAGGTATCTGCATCTATTATGGAAAAAGCAGTGTAGTTCAACGACTGGTGCAGACTGCCATCTGGGTGTCTTAAACCACCCATCAATTTTTAGTTTCATTTTATACAGTGTACTGCAGACAAATGAATTGCTTTGTAGAAAAAGCTTCGAATGCAATACTGAAGTGTCTTACCTTCCAGAGTGGTGCCTGTTCCCATCAGTGGCGCTCCGAGGCCAGAGGTGTATCGGGCACTAACGAAGACCTCATACTCTGTGTCCGGTGACAGATTTCTCAGCAAAGCAGTTGTTGCGTCTCCTTTAACAAACATTTCTTTCCTTTCCCCACCATCAGGTTTGTAGGCCACTTGATATTGCAGCACAATGCCTGGAGCGGCCCGCCATGAGACCCTCATGCTGGACACGGTCTCGTTGAAGACCCTCAGGTCACGTGGAGAGCCCCGGACTGAGAGGGAATAATAAATATGGGATTAATTAACTTTTTTAGAATTTCAAGGTAAAAGAGTCAAAGCTTCCAAACAGTGCTGACCTTCTTTGGTGGTGCCCTCAGTGTCCATGGAGGGACCCATTCCACTTGCATACTCGGGGTACACTGTGACACGGTAAGTGGTGACGGGTAGCAGTTCGGGGAGCACAATGGTGACCTGACTCCCATCAGTCTGTGCTTCCAGTTTATCTCCTCCACCCACTGGCTCATACAACAGTCTGTACCTCAGCACTGCTCCTGGAGCGGCTCTCCACGACACGCGGAAGCTGTCTACGGTCTCATCGCTCACCACAAGGTTACGGACAGAGCCTAATTCTGAAATGCGAGAGCAGTGCGTGTTATCAGCCACATGCAAAAAAGCTGTACTTGTCAGTGATAAATGACTTTGACTGGGATTAAATACCTTCTAAAGTCGTCTCCTCGCCTGTCAAAGGAAAACTGTCTCCTTTATCATACTGGGCGATGACATTAACCTCGTAAGTGGTCAGGGGCGTGAGATTGGGCAAAATCGTAGTGGTGGTGTCAGGAGGAACCACCAAAGAGATGTAGTCTCCAGTTACGTCAGCCGCTGGCCTGAAACGCACCAGAAAAGACAGGACATCCTCTCCGTCAGAAATCCACGAGGTCCTGAAGCTTCTGGAGGTGACCTCAGAGAAGCTTAGCGACTTTGGTGGAACCAAACCTGTATGATAGAGCACATCACTATAAGTTAAAAGCAAAGGTTTTTTTTACAATGTGTATTTTCTTGAATGTTTATTATCTGGCTTTCCATGCTTTAAGCTTGGTCTTGCTTGCTTGATTCACTCCAAGAGAAACTTTAGCAATAGATTCTAAATAGACATGTGTTAAAGGGATAGTTCACCCAATAATGAAAATCCTGTCATCATTTCATCATTAACTCATCCTCAAGTTGGTTCAACCCTGTACTGTTGAACACAAAAGAAGAGGGGTACAGGGTACACTTCAGTACAGGGACCAATTCTCACTATTAAATAGTTGCTTATTAGCATGCCTATTAATAACATATTGGCTGTTTATTAGTACTTGTGAAGCACATATTCTGCATGACCACATTCTACATCCCTAATCCTACCCAATACCTAAACTTACTTTAAAACTATTAAGAAGCAGAAAATGTGTAGTTTATTGAGGCAAAGTCACAGTTAATGGTTTGTTAATAGCGAGAATTGGACCTAAAAATAAAGTGTGACCAAAGAAAAGAAAAAAAGTTGACAATCCCCATTGACTTCCATAGTATGGGAAAAATACTACTGTTTGGTTACCCATATATCCTTCAAAATATCTTCTTTTGTGTTCAACAGAACAAATAAACTCGTGCAGGTTTGGAACAACTTAAGGATGAGTAAATGATGACAGAATTTTCATTTTTTGGGTGAACTGTCCCTTTAACACAATAAAAAACTGAAATATGTGCTGTATAACAGCAATTTAGTATTGATTATGATGATGTTGATTATTTATTGTTCATGATGTTTATTATATCTAATCTGCCCTCAACAGATGTTTCCTTATGTATTTGTATTATGAAACCGTACTGGTGACTGTCCCAAGCAGGGTGTGTTCGTGGATCTTTTGTTGATCCTGGAACAACATTCCCATCAAACAAACATAGTCTGAACCCTATCCTTAACTAACTACCCAGAGTAAACTGCTTATCAGAGGGAACAGATAGGCTGGTAAGATTGTTGTTCAAATCCCTAACCCCAGCCCTAACCTTAATACTTTTTTTCATTCCTAAAATGTTATTGGTTGATAAGACTGTTATTCCAGGTCCATCAAGGCTGTTGATCCAGCAACCTGTCCTACTTGTAAATCATGGTAAGCTCACTCACATAAACACTAACAGAAATGACTGGGGAAAAAAACAATAAACGAATGTAATCGAATTTGGCACATACTTCTTTTCTTGATGTTATGGAGCTCCTGCTCAATTCTTAGACAGATGGATGTGGTTAGTTCCTTGGAGATCCGCTGAAAGGAATCAAAGTCTTCCACCTCAAACACATGGTTATCAGCAGGAACGTTGGCAATCGCCTCCAGCTCGGAGCGCACGGCGTCCTTGACTCCCACGGCGAAAATCTCCACGTCTGCATCCCTTAGTTTGTTGGCAGGGTTTTTGAAAGAATCCGAGGATTTGCCGTCTGTGATGAGCACCATGACTCGTGGCACGTTATCACGAGCGCCACGGGCTGGAATGAAGATCTTTTCCCTTACGTAGGTCATGGCCTTGCCAGTGTTGGTGGAGCCTCCACGGTAGGGGAAGGTGCGCACTGCATTGAGCACAGCTGCATTGTCATCGTGCTTGTTCAGGGCAAACTCAGTGTGAGGATCCCGGCTGTACTGAACCAAGCTGATCTGCACTTTGTTGGGTCCGATGTCAAAAGATTTGACGAGCACTTCAAGGAAGGCTCTAACTTTAGCAAAGTTAGCCAGTCCTATACTGTACGAGCCATCGACCAGGAGGACAATATCAGCTTGGACCTCGACCTCTTGGGAGCACTCTATAGGCAACAAAACACAAGACTTCACAACCTGTCTGTCTGGAAATTATATTTGCATTTTGAGGGTAAGCAGGTCAAAAAGTACCAGTATATAGATAAACTATGAATAGGGTAGATCTGTGAGATTTAAGGCTGGAGTACACTATACAACTTTTGCCATGATTTTTGCTACGGTTTACAGTCTGGAGGACCCAACACTAGTTCCGATTTAAAAAGCCATGTAGTATATTCCAGCCTATAATAGGATGGTTAAAGATTCGGACTGGCAACTCAAATGTTGTAAATTCAGTCCCCACAAGAAGGTGATCCATGAACAGTTGCATCCTTGATCAACACAGTTCAAGGAATTGTAGTGCTCAGATCTCTTTCACACTTCTCTGTGCTCAAACTTAGTGTATCGTGGTTGAATACTTGGGACTTGTTTACACCATTAAGACATGTTTTGGTCGATCCAATCACAAGTGGACAACATTTAATACAGGTATGAATTGGGTGTAAAACCTTTTCAGCTTGTCCAGTTACGACCACTTCCAAAGGTAGTCGAAAACGTATTAGATGGGATTGCTTTTCACACTTGAAATTGTTAACCCTGGGTCATCCTAAACCCCGGAAAAACGTGGAGAAAAGCGACAGATTAAAACACCAAATGTTACCCGATACTTGTTACCCGATCGACCAAAACGCATCTTAATACCAGGTGTAAACAGGGCCTTGGAAGCATTAATGAAACTAGTTGTTAGCATCTTACCTGTAGACACCTTCACAGGCTGTGTTTTCTCGTTGACAACTTGTGGCTTACTAGGAGTCAGACCTTTGAGGGCAAACAGACTGATCTCATACTCTGTCTCAGGAGACAGGTCTCTGACGTTGGCCACGGTGAATGTGGGCCCTGTGTAGAGCTCCTGCTTCTTGGCGCCAGCAATCATGGGGAAGACCTGCAGCTTATAGCCTGTGATGTCACCAGGAGACGAATCCCACCTAATTCTCATGGATTTGGAGGAGACGTCAGTTACTCTGAGGTCTGAAGCTGGTTCAACAACTGGGGTAAAAAAGGATAAATATTTATGATTCATAGATCTTCCATTAACTGGTCAATTCTCTGTGAGTTTACGATGCATGGCCAGTACCTTCCTCTCCGCTTGCAAGCAAATTTAGCTGCTCCTCCACACCAGAGCACACCTGCGTGATGAGCTCCTTCTGCACCTGATTGATCATGTCGAAGTTTGGGACATTATAGATATGCTTGCTGTGGGGAGTGGAGGCTATCTCCTTTAACTCATCCTCATCTGCTCCTTTGATACCTGAAGACATGAAACGCGGCTTGAAATAGTGTTCCATGCAGTTTTGGATGCATGTTCAATAGATGTATACTGTACATACCCAGGACAAAGATCTCTACTCCAATGTTCCTCAGGCGTTCGGCGTACTCCCCTACTGGGTCTTGTGACTTTCCATCCGTGATGATCATGGCTACTTTTGGAAAGCCTTTCCTGGCTCCAGTCGCCGCAGTGAAAGTGTTTTTCACCAGATAGTCCATTGCATCACCTGGTTGATGGATGCATGTAAGAAACCGGTACAAATTAATTCATGTCGAAGGAAGATTTAGTAACACTTTATTTTAAGGTGTCCTTGTTACACGTTACATGTACTTACTATTAAAATAACAATAAATTACGCATAATTATATGCAAGTAACCCTAACCATATAGTAAGCACATGTAGTTAATTAATATTACTCAGTACTTAAATGTATAATTACACTGTAACAAGGACACCTTAAAAATAAAGTGTAACCGAAGATTTCAAACTCTTTTAAGTGATTATTTTGGAAGAATTTGTGTCTAAATATGAATATTTATTCAGCTGTTTATGACTCTTTTTAATGTTTATTCAGGTAATGATTTATTTTTAAGCCTAGTAGGTCGTTCCAATATCGCCTATGTGTTACCACATGATAGATTGACAAGAATATTGATCCCACTCCAAGCCAAACCCAATCCCTTTCACCAACAATCCCCAAACTCTGATTAATGGATGATTAATGTTGACTAGGGTTGTTCCAGGACCAACACAGATGCTGATACAGAAACAAGTCCTAATCAGCCAAATAATGGTATGGCAAATCGTAAATCTTTTACACACCTGTCATGGTGTTACCACCCTTGTAGGGCAGATTTTTAATGGCTCGCAGGACATCAGGCCGCATGTAATACTGGTTCAGGTTGAACTCTGTCCTGGTATCTGAGCTGTACTGCACCACAGCCACTCTGGTCTTATCCTCTCCAATGTCAAAAGCTCCCGCCATGGCCCCAATGAAACTCCGGATGAATTTAAAGTTTTCTCTTCCCACGCTCCAAGAGCCATCCACCAGGAAAACCAGATCCGCGATAGCACTCACTGAACACTCTGCATGACGAGGAAATTAAGAGGCATGAGAGAAAGCCATATAAGAGTCTACTATAGATCTACCACACTCTTTGTCATTTGACTTATTTTACACATTAATGGACAAAAAATGTTGTTGTTTAGTCTATTTTGCAACTACGCTTACACAATTATTAATGACTCCTAAAAAGTCATGTCCTCTGTCTGTTTCCTTTAACATTTCCCAACAAAAATGATGCTTCCGAAGCAAATGGAAACTTTCAATAAACTTCTTTCTGTTTCTTTAGACACGACTCCAAAACTTTACTGTGAAATGTCCATCTTGAGAACAGGTTTTCTGGAATTTCAATTGGATTTGTTTTGGCACCGGTACTCTCGATCTGGACTTACAAGAAGTGGAATTGGGTCAGGACCGTAATCCTTTCCACCAGTTGTGATGTCTGAGTGTGTGAGAGTCAATGAGTGAGGCTAGAAAAAGCCTCTGAGCCCCTCTCTGCGTTATACCAGCCACTTCTAACAGTACAAAGCAAAGTGTTTTATGAGCTCTGATTCTATTTTAATGCTTTTAATTAAAGGCAATTTTTACACTGCCAACCACAGCCTTGAGCAATCTTTCTTTTTGCGAGCAGTAACAAGTCTACAGCGGTTGAAGTTTAGAGGAAAAATGTGATCTAATACACGGCATATAAAATTCCATTTCATAGGTGATAAGAAGCAAGGAAACTAACATCTGGAATGATGAAGAAATGGTTTGATTGAATATACTCACTGACAGCCTCTGACGGTGGCCTCTTTGTTCCACTTGTGTTGCTGGATTGAACTGTAAGAGCAGAAGAAGTTAGGTCTGTGCCTTGGAAGCTCACATTTCCTTTTGGCAAATAGATTTATCAAAACGAATAATCAACACCTCGTTTATTGTAAATTTGCTCAGAAGATCTCGAACTAAACTGGATTTGTACATGTTTTGAAGAAAATGTGAATGGTGCTTCAAAACTTCAAAACAATTAGTGTGTTGTGAGTGCTTGAAAGAGTATTGCTGCAGTATTCTGAATGGTTTTTAGTGCATTGCTATGTGATGCCTAGGGTGTTATGGGTTGTTCCATTACGGCTTAAGTCAAAGGAGTCCACTCCTAACTCTCTATTATATTTTGGTCTCTAGACATGACTCAAGTTACCAAATTACCTTTTTAAGATATTACATTTAAACTTTTCTTGACAGTGGCATTTAAAAGCAGGTTTTAAAAGGTTTGCTCCTCTTCTTTATCCCATAAGCCACATGACCTGAAATATCACTCAAGTTTCAAGCCAAAATTGAACACATGAGCAAATCCCTTACCATGCATGCATGCAATACCAACAGTTGCTTGTTTTAAAATCCAAAACTAATAAGAAAAAGACATTGAGGATATCTGGTGTGCACTTACTTGTTATTTGTCCAAGGATAGGGATACTTTCTTCCGCACCATCATATGAATTGATAGACACTGAATAGTCTACATCTGGAGTTAAATCCGTGATTGATGTGTTTGTGGCCGAGGCAGGAAGACTGAAATCTTTCAAATAATCTGGAACAGATAACGACATATCAAGTCAGAAGAGAAGCTACTCAAAGCTGATCAATAAAAAAACATGCAGATGTTGACATCACGCACCTGTATCTGATATGACTTGTATTCTGTAGCCCTGTATCTGAGACGAAGGCCTCCTCCATGACATATGCACTGTGTTTTCATTTAAGATTTTAAATTTCAAGTCTGAAGGAGGCTCCACTGCAAACAAAGGGTTAACGGAGTCAAGATCACGAGAAACTGCAATATTTGAATTAATAATACATTTAGAAAAAAAAAACATTAGATGATTTTCAACAACCCCAACGACAAACACTTCAGGACTGAAGTTTAGTCGTTTATTGTTGGGCGAGACAAACAGAACCAACAGTAAAGGTGACAAAACATGACATAAGAGAGTGACGGAAGCCATTTCGGTTCAAATGGCCTTTTCTTGAGTTGCAAAACCTGGAATCTCACGGTCTGCAGCTCAAGCAGAGAAGAGCTATCACAAATAAAATGTCGTCGACAAACCATCCAATACATGCTGAATGCAATCAATACAATGCATGCCCGTTCACTGGAACTCTGGTGACAAAAAGAAATCATATCAAGATAATGTTTCCATTCCCAAAATATTGATTATACAATGGAATCAAGTTTTCGAGATGTCAAAGATGTCCAGATGGCTCTGTCCGGAGTAGAGAAAAATACATATATGTTATATATACGCTTTGTATATATACATATATTCCAACAAGGCTTGAGTACTAACAGGTTTTACTGAAGGCACGTATCCATTGCAAATCTCAAAAAAAGAATACACAGCTCGTCGTGACAGACTTTTGTGTAGTTCCTTTTCAAACAGAAGATGTACGTGACAAGACGACACTCGATCCGCATTCGTCTGGTTGTCAAAGCGTCATGCACATGTACATGGGGGAACAACTTATTACACTGTTTCCATGTACAACACAAAGGACAACACAACAAATGTATTTCAAAATGATATTCTGTCATAGACATTATTGACATGCAATCTACATCAAACCGTCGTGGATCTCATCTCAGCAGGCGGCGATCTTAGGCAATGAGATGTCCACTTACGTACTCCACATCCATGTTACATCTGCATGCATGAATGCTGATGATTGATGTAAATCTCTGCTGTCCGAATAATGTCTTGAATGCATAGGAAAAACAGGCGATGTCATCCAAAATGCAAACAACAGGTGATATTAAACATGCTGAATATTACAGAAATGAATTAGTATATTTAGAGTGCAGCTTGCAATATCACACTCTAAAAAATGCTGGGTTAAATACAACCCAGTGCTGGGTAAAATTCTTAAATATAAGGGTTCCTAAATGGCCATAGAAGAACCATTTTAGTTCCCCAAAGAACCTTTCAGTGAACATTTTTTTCCTTAGTGTGAAGAACCTCTTTTACACAATTATTGTAAGAACCTTTTGTTTCCATGGATGTTAAAGGTTCTTCATGGAATCATCAATGCCAATAAAGAACCTTTATTTTCAGAACACTTAAAAATGAAACTTTGTCGTTCTTTGGAGATTAAAAAAGTTCTTGATGTTCCAGTACATTATAGGTTTTTTTTTTTTTTTGGCTCAGTATTTTACAGTTTTAAGCAGTAGAACATGATTTGGTTCTAATTGGAACCTTTATTTTTAAGAATGCACTGTAGAGTTCTGTAAACTAGTACATTTATTACTGGCCTTCATCGACAAGGCGATGAAGATCCACAGTGTCTGCTATAGATTAATGATCATCTATAAGAGCAGATCTTCGCTGTAGAGACTTTTCCATGCACTACTGTTCTTAATTCTTCTTGACGGCCAGCTGAATAATGGGGACGTGGCAAAACGTCACATGCGCAAAGAAAAAGAAGGAAAGTTTCGGGTGGAAAGAAGTGGCCAGAGCAGCAGAATATCATTTTAAAATAAACGGTGGAGGAAGCACACCAGGAAAACGACAGACAACACGACCTGCTGGAGAAAGAATGCTCACCAACCTGACGCGCCAAACTCAAACGGTCTGGGCCGATTCCCTTCATGTGTCCGAACAGGCCGAACCCATGAGTCTTCACGATTCACAGATGAGGCATCTTGTGTCACGGCACCAGCGCGCATAAACGATGTCTGAAACGCTACCTTACCATTGAGCTTTAATACCGGCTCGGCAACTGTTATCATAAGGGAACGTGACAGCTTTGTTGACTCTGTTGACAGTTTCATAACGAAAGTGACACAAACGTCGGCTCGTGTTGAGTTTCTGGAAACTTCAGGATGAGGAGGCCCGTCAGGAGAGCACTTCTCTCATCCCGCGGAGAGAAAGTCTGCCCCATGTCAATAACCTCCAGCCAGTCAGGCATTCTTTCTGGCTAGCGCCGTTGCCAGGCAGTTCGGAAAAGAGGGTTGGAGTCTCCCGGAGAAGCCGAGCAGATGCCAAAGTAATTCCACAACATGTGCTGACATTAAACATTACTGCATATTAACTTTCCATATGGACTGCAACTCAGCGTTTTCGTGAGCGGCTGCAGGAAACCTAAAACGGCTCTTTGTCTTTGTGCTGTCTGAGAACTAATTCAGCCCTCTCATGTTACATCTTTCCATTCTGTTACAGCACGCGCAAAAAAACCCCCAATGTTTCCATTTGGTTTTCCAGTTGAATCAAACTTCATCCTCACGTTCTCACATCACTTTCGCTCGAGACAGCTGTCGGTGGGCTAAACTGATGCTGTTTGGTGGTGACTTTAATTACAGATCCGTTTTAAACTAAAACAACTTCAAATCATGCGGTAGAAAACACTTATCCATTTTACTTCTGGAACCCATTTATAGCTAAGCATAAAGTGCATATGATTTTATTTAAAGTATTTTTATATTTCATTTTATGTGTGTATCCAGCTCAGTGTTGCCAAGGTTGTTTTGATTAGATCTTGACTGAGATCGGAAAGTATCAGAGATTTAATTTCATGCATGAAGAACTGTGTAAAAGAACTAAGGGCAATGTGCATTTTATAGCAAAAAAAACAAAAACAGCTTATATATGGATAGTTATGTCAGTGTATCACATGTTGTCGCAGTGTTACTCATATTTATATCTTACATTTTAAACTATTTGTCATGCAAAGTGTGTAAAAATGATAAAATCCAAGTACCTATTCAGATTCAGTAACCTAAGAGGTATAAAATACAAATTTATGCATATACTACATACATAAAGAATAAATAAAATCAAGTTTATTTTAAGCCTTTTTATGGGAATCCAGCAGCTGTCAACTGTGATTGGATGTGGGGAAAAAATAGGCTAGATTTCATTCCTTCTGGGTGGGGTTTGAGCTGAAAAAAGTTCTGGGATCTGGCAACCCTGATCCAGCTACACACAGTGCAATACAATTTAGTGATTTTGTTTGCATGTGTTCTGACTCTTGATAAATGTGCATTTGAGTTTGACTTAAGATACTTATGTCTCCGCAAGAACTTATTGCAAAAGTCTGCAGTTTAAACTTTTTCTGACATTTAATAATGATGCTTTTGTAACAATGTTTTCATTTCAGCTCCTGTAATTAACCAGCACTAATGGTAATTCATTGGGCAATAACTGACTCATAGAGGAGGTGATGACCATCCCAGACTGCTTGTTTCATGCTGCATATCTGCAGAACTGCTGAGGCATGCCTCGCAACAAATGGCAGATTGTGACTGTTTTTCATACTAAACATATTAAGTATAAATAGCTTTTTCTTTTGTAATTCTCTGTGTGTGTGTGTGTGTAGAAGCACACGCCTCTATGTAGACTGGAACCGCAGACAACATTGCGCAAGTAACATTTTTAAACAAACAGAGCACATCATTTTCATTTAATAGCTTATTAGAACTATTTCTAGAAACGTATAAACTATTAGGCTATAAATAACTATATAGAAGTTCATCATACATAAGTAGTAATACAGTTTAATATAAGATATTCAACAAGTTAGCAATGGATGCTCGGCATCCAATTAATGAACAAAAACATATTTCACTGTAAATGTTTTAAAACAGAAGAGAGACAGACAGCATGGACTATACCTTGAGCCTCTACTGAATTCAGTAATATAGTAAAGAGTGCAGCGGCAGCCAAAGACAGCCTGATCTTCATGTTTACACAGACACAGTCAGCAGCTCATTAATTAATCTACAACGAGAGAAAAAAAATAATTCATCGTTATTTCTACAGTCATTGCATAGTAGGCATACTTTACTTTAAATAATAGCAACATTATACCAATGCATTCATGGTGTGCTTAGTTTAATTTTGTACTAAATAAGTGTGAATCATTTTAACACCTAAACATGTAAATGGCAATTAGATGACAGAACTCTCTCTCTCTCTCTCTCTCTCTCTTTCGGCTTATTCCCTTTCAGTTAGATGACAGAACTAATGTGTAGAATTACTTCTCATTGGGACACGGTGCTCTGCATGACGGCTCACGAGCGCCTCCACGTGGAGCTTGACACAAGTGCAGTGAAAATGCACAACCATTCATCTGATTAATAGGCTATAGACCTAAACCTAAATCAACAATTAGCCCATCTCAGAATAATTTCTGCTAAACATTTAAAAACTCTCGTTTTACCAAAATTTAAATATTAAAAAAAAAAAGACGTGTTGTCACATAATGTAATTATGTTACATAAATCACCTCAGTCTACGAAATTCCAGACATTCGTAATATTTAACGTTAAATAACGCGTTATTTTAAACATTCCGTACAAATCTAAATAACTCCTTTGAAATGTTTGAATGAAGTAAAGAAGTCATATTCAGACCTGTAACAGTCCGTCAGGATCACAGATGGAAAGCAAAGGCTGACTGAGAGCCTCGTCTCGCTCCTCCAGCAGTGAGGGAAACCTCTGGGAGAATGGGAGGAATCTGAGCTCAACCTGACACTAAATAGGGGGTTGTTCCCAACTTTACTCCCTTACGAAATTCCTCAAGAATGGAGCCCCCACTTTTAAATCAGAGATACGGGACTAGGCTACTTCAGAAGGGATGCAGATGTGCTGGGGTATTCAATTTTAATAGGCTACTAAAGATACTACCTCAGATTGTGCTTAGAAAAGATGGGCAAAATTACTAACTCGAAAAATGATTAGAATGAATGAAATATACTTATTGGTGAAATGTAGGCTACGTAATAGAACGATTGAATCTTTCAGCTACCTCACAAAAACTGTATTGTAGGCTAATTAAATCGAAAAAGTCGATATAGTTTTATGGTAGGGGTGTCGTAGCCCGTCTACACTCCAAGCACATGACCGCTTTGTTAACAACGAAACTGACGACACTTCAAACGAAGTATATATTTATGCGAAATTGCGAATGTATTGAACGTTTGCGCAATCGCTTACATGGGCTACTTTTGGTTAGACAGTCGTGTTAAATGTAATGAGAGCGCTTTGGTTTCTGTGCAAAATCACACACTACAGCTGCATACTGAAGTACATACTTCACTGCTGATGGTGTGTTTCGTAAGCTGTCGGAAAAGGAAGGTAAAAAATAAAAAAATTTCTACTTCAAAATTTCACGTCTTCAATGTGTTACTTGCCGTTTAATCGAAATTGTTTGTGAATTTTACTAGCAATGTCTTGAGGGAAAATTGTTCCAGCAACTTCTTTTTTTTCAGTGCCGATCAGTTTTTCTCATAATTACTATACCTAGAGCTAAAAGTCATTGCTTTTAACTTATTTTGAAATGCGTTCATTTTAACACTACTAAGGAAGATTTAGCCTATTCATCATAAAAAGAAGAGAATTGTTGAAAATCATACTATTAGTATATTTTTAACATAATTATCATACACTACATAGCAGAGCTGAACAATTATCCACCATACTAAGTTCATATATACAGGGACAGTGTTGGGGAAAGTTACTTTTAAAAGTAATGCATTACAATATTGTGAAAAAAAAAAAGTAACTTGCGTTAATTATTTGAAAAAGTAACTCCGATATTCTCTTGTAATTTAAAAAGTAATGCGTTACTTTACTAGTTACTTGAAAAAAGCAATCTGATTACGTAACTCGCGTTAAAGAAAAACAAAATCGAGAATGTGATCGAGATGAGATGGTTTTAATGTACTTGTATTTTTAAAGTCGGCATTAAATGAAAATTCACCCTTTTTTCTAAATGCAGTAATAGATCTTATTGTGAATGATTCATTCATGAACATGTTTACATTTTTATTTATTTTTTGCACTTGTAATGCTTAATCAGTGTTGGACCATAGATTAAAAACAACAGACATGTTTTGGTGATACATAAGCCCCGCCCACATATTAACATCCAATCAACAACCAATGCATAGAACCAAAGTCCCGCCCTACATCTTTTCTTTTCCGATTATCCGCTTCACTCGGATGCACGTCACAGGATGGAAGAACAGATCTGTCACTACTTCCGCTGCATCGTAACTTTAAATCTAATGAAATTTTGTGAAACCGCAATTGAGAGGACATCTTCAAACACAGACTGCCAGTGGAACGTTTTATTACATAATGATTGCGCTTTACAGTACAATCAATAAATATTAATCCAATGTAATGAAAATAACTGACAGGACATCTAATTCTGAGGATTAGAGATCTTTACAATTCAGACACATGAATAGAGGGGCATGTTCAATCCTTCTTCTTGGGCAGCGCTGCATCGATCAATGCATACAGCACATAACCGCACCCTGTGGAGAGAAGAAGTGGGACAATAAAAGCGCTGTTTACAGAGCCAAAGTAGTACATATTCACTACATTTTTACACTTAAAAGGATACGAAGTACTAAGCAATATGACAGTGCCTTTGAACACCCTTAAAGACATTTAACCTAAATTAAAATGACTGGGATCCTCAGAAAAATTTCCTGATATGAGTAACTATAAGTAACTGTAATGCTATTAATAGAAATATTTACATAGTTTGATACCTAATACAAATACAGTTGCAAACTATATGAACTAACAGTACCGCTGAATACAGGATTAAATACATATTTTTCAAAAAACTACTTTTGTAGGGTTTCTTTTTTGTTGTATAGCAGGACCCACAAAAACATTCTTCAATAATAATAACTATAGCAATAAGAAAATTATAATAGTAACTTTAAGGAATATTAATTTTACTTCCATGTTTTTTTGTTTATTCTTTGCCAAAAATAAAAGGAATTGATCAATTTAATTATAAAATAAAAATAAAAGATTAAATAAATTGTTCATATTTTATGCCTTCATTTGATTACCACAGTTTTTGATAATAATTTCAAGCAGATTTTCTTAAAAAAATAATAATAGTAATAATAAATTCAGTTGATTAGGCATGGTTTTGATTATTAAACTGAATTAAAACTGAATTCAGGAAAAGGAAAACACAGAATTTAGGGGAAAAATCTAATTGATTTCATTGGGCCCTATTAATGTAATATTATTTATTTACTGAAGTTATTAATCATTACGCTATCATGAACCACACTGATTGTAATCTCATTTAAATGGGATATCAGATAAATAAAATGAAAAGCAGATTAAGCATAAATAATATAATGGCCAGCCACATATCTACAGCTTACCAAAGACAGTAAGCGCCATCGTTGCCCTGTACAAGAGAGCATCTGTCGTGCCTCCCTTCAAATGAACTGGCATGCCATTGTCTTCCTGAAAGAAACAGAAACCACATATTAGCATTTGATACATCGGCACGCACTTTTCTCATATAGTTAATCAATCGCACAAACAGTGCCGTTTTTTTCTACAAATGATTACAAACGTACTATTTTTTACAACAGTTCAAAAAACAAGAAGTTAATTAAGAGACTTACGTTTTGCCTG